CCCCCCTTCCTCCTTCCTTCCTTCCTTCCTCCCTCCTGCCCTCCCTCCCTCCCTTCCTTCCTGCCATCCATCCATCCATCCATCCTCTTTTCTCCCTTCCTTCTCCTAACAAATGTGTACAGAGGCTCTATTGCATGTTGTTGAAAAGCATTCAGTCCCTGGGCAGATGGAATTCCCGGGTGTCTGTCAGTCCTGTCTCCATGGTGGTGGAGTTCGTCTCCAGTTTGGCCACAAACTCTTTAAGCAGCTCCGTGTTGTAAGCACTTTGCTGGACAACAGCTGTGTGCAGAGCTGGCCACCGCTGGCTCTCACGGCACCCCCAGGACAGAGGGAGAGCTAGTCATCAATGAGAAACGCCACTGATGGATGCGTGCCGCGTGCAGGATCCTGCCTATCACGGGAAGCAAAGCCCGCACACGGTGGACTGCAGATGGTCTCCCCGCATGGAGACCTTGGCCGGGAGCTTCTGGAAGCTGGGGGAAGGCTGGGGGCCACACAGTCCAAGGCAGCTGGTCTGCAGGGGTCTGGGCGTGGGGAGGCTGGCAGTGTGGAACAGACCTAGTGAGACTTGAGACGGGGACAGCTGGGCAGACTATTCCTGTCTGTGACCGGGGGGCCACCCAGGTAGGAAGTGGGGTGGTGGGTTCCTCATTTGAGGCTCCGTAGAGTCTAAGCTGAGTCAAAAGATATGAATTCTTTTTTTGACTCTTTTTTAATAATGCGTATCTGTTTTTGAGAGAGACTGAGATAGAGAATGGGAGAGAGGCAGAGAGAGAGGGAGACACAGAATCCGAAGCAGGTTCCAGGCTCTGAGCTGCCAGCACAGAGCCCGACGCGGGGCTCGAACCCACGGACCGTGAGATCATGACCCAAGCCAAAGTTGGACGCTCAGCCCACTGAGCCACCCAGGCACCCCTTGACTCTTTCAATAATGAATAAACCATACAAATCATTTCAGAATATCATCATTCTTTTGTTTGAACAACCGACTTCTTTGTTTTGATAGCTTTCCCTTTAGAAAGGAGAGGCCCCGTCTTCATGTTTAGCCGCTTGCTCTTTTGTACACTTAAGGGTGTGTGTCAGAGACCTTGGGACACTAGAATTTAGTGACCTTTTCCAGAGTCCTGAATACTCAACACTCCTGAGCTTGTCTAAAAAAAGAGAGCGTTAAGAGTTAACTGTATTAAAGAGTAGGGGACCGAGACTTTCATAGTTTCTGCTCAGTCATTATTGAAAACAGGTATAGGTTGCTCTTGGGCAGAAATACTGGAAATACCGCGAGTCTGGCCAGGCTATGTGCAGGTAAGCAATGCCGATGCCCCCCCATGATGCTGCAAGGTTTGGGCAAGCATCAGAGGCATGTTTCTAGAATCAGCAGATCCGAGTGAACTCACAAGTCCACCTCCTGACCCGTCTTCTCTGTGCGCAGATGTGAAAATTCGAGTCAAGTGTTTCTTTTGGTTACTCTTAGAAGGTAAAAGTGATTAAAAATTAAAGGCAATTTTGTGCTTTTTTAGAACTCAGGGACCATCACTAACATTTGCACCTATAATTCTAATGAAGTTTCGTGAATTACTGCAGGGAAACATCTTGTTAATATTCTCACTGCCGAGGGTCGCTGCCTTAGTGGCCCTGTTGTACCGTGTGCAGACATCGTCAGTGCGCCTGGGTGGGTAAACACATGTGCCGTTGATTTCATTGTACTCTGTTTTCCCAGATCAACCAAACAGTTGTGTCTGTAACTGGGAGCACGGGCAGATTTGGGTTTTGGCATGTTTTGTGTTTCCCATGTTTGTGTGTACATGTTTTTACGTGAGGACGGCTGTCCTGCCTGATTGATAGGAGAGAAACATCCCTTGCGATGGACAGACGCACGTGTCAGAGCAGTCTAGGTTTCCATGCTGACCCTGAGGTCAACAGGCCATAAACTCCCTGAGCCTCAGAACCCCACATTTGTAAAATAAGGGGAGAATATCCATCGCACGGCGTTGCTAATTGAAACCATAGCCAACCTGTGTTCTGTGCTTCCTGCGTCTGGAGTACTTCATGTGAGTCCGGCGAGATTTACAGGGAGCAGTCTCCCTAGCACAGAGCGAAACCAGTGAATTACCTATGATTAATATTTATAGTTGGCGAGTGTACCCTTCTCTCCCTTGCTTTAAAAAGAATCACTTGCAGAAGTAGATTTTCAAATGACGGGAGCTTTAATGTTACACCGTTTCTATATGTGTATGGCTATGCCACATTACTTGTTTTTTGATTATCCCTTATTCAAAAAGTAATAAAGGACAACCCAGAGATAAGGGTTCACATTCAAAGGGAAACAGTGTGTAAGATGGACAGAACTGACCTAACAAGACAGAACGCTGCGCTGGTTTGAGATGAATGCAGCCTGGACGGGGTAGGGAGACAGGGTCAGTTCTGTGGTTCCTTGTGTCCTTTATGTAAAAGCGGACGCCAGTAACTCCCTGGCGAGCAGCCACACCTGGCTGCAAGGCCAGCAGGGACCATCCCCGCTGGGTTTTCCCTGGGAGCTGTAAAGTGCTGCAGGGCCAAGACCCACATCAGCATGGCTGTAACCATGGCAGCCAGGGGCCCAGAATCTTCTCTGAGTCGGTGGCCCGGGATAGGCTGGTGACATCCCTGCGGCCACTCTGGGGAGAAGCCAGGCAGGAGCAGCACCTCCTGACCCTGAGGAGACTGGAGAGGGACCCCCGTGGCTCTGGCCGGCCGCGCGCATCCCTCGGAGAGGCTCCCTGCAGAGCGCTGCCAACAGGCTCTGGGTGGGTGGACTTCCTGCCGGGCCTCTGCCGCCCTGGGACGTGACCTTCACAGGGCTCCCAAGACCTTCGCACCGCATGTTTGCACCGGCTCATGATTCCCGAAGAAGATGTGCACACTGATTTCCTTAATTTTGAGGCAATTTATGTATTTTCATTATGTAAGAAATATAAAATACATTCATCCTGTAAAAGAATAAAAGCAGGAATCCAATCTTGGAAGGGAAAATTCGAACCTTTCAACTGCTTCCCTTGGATCTCAGAGATTCCCTCAGCAGCCTCTACTGAGTAAGGGGTAGCGTGTGCATGTGGACGAGTGTGCGCATGGGCGTGCGCACGTGTGTGTGTGTGTTCGTGCGTGTGCGTGCTCCTAGGAAAGTGAGCAGCTTTCATGAGGATTGCTCCCAGCATTTCACGTTAAACGTAGCGCTTGCTGGCGTTCTGGTAGGTCACCCTTCTGTTGCAGACGTTTCTTCTGATTTCCAGCTTGCGAAGAGGTTTCTGTTTTTTTTTTTTTAAATCAAGAATATGTTTTGAATTTTATGCTTCTCGGGACCATCTATTATAAGAAGCATGTTTCCCCCCTTGATTGATCAATTATGCTGTTTTGTTTTTAATGCCATATCATTCTTCTGCCTCTGGGACATACCCTACTTGGTTATGATGCTCTTTTAATAGCCTACTGGTTTTGATTGACGAATATTTTATGTAGAATGTTTCCATGTTTGTTCAGAAGCCAGATTGTTGTGGATTTGAGAGTATCAGTTGTATCTAAGCTTGGCCAACAATTAAAGAATATTGGTTGCATTTAACTGTCAACATAGACTAAAAC